TTCTGGCGGGTGTGCCTGAGCGCTCCTGGCCACGGAGCCAGGGGTTCCGAGTGTGTATTGCGTGTGGGTTCTTAGAATTTGTCCAGTGCAAGTTAGTATGTAGGAAACGCCATTCAAAGCGAAGAGAAAGTTGGTTTTTTGCTCAGCCTGACTGAGCAGTGGCATTGGCTGCCCAGAGTGGTTGTGGAGCCCTCGGAGGTGTTCAAACCCTACTGGATGTGGTCCTGTCCCCTTGGGACCGGGTGATCCACAGAGCTCTGTTCCAGCCTAAACCACTGATTTTGTGGAGCAACTCTGTAGAAATTTCCCTGTACCACCTTTTGTCTCTAGAAGTTGAGTTTTCCCTGAGTTGCTGAAGTACCTCCTGTTGCCCCATACATTTGGATAACCGTATAGGCTAAATTGGCCTCTCAGTGTGGGAGTCTGTTTCGTTTCCATGACAATAATAATGCTGAAGATAATAAATATATATAATATTGCATGGCAATAATACCCCAAAAGATACAGGCAATGGATCTTCCATCAGCACCTATGGCAGAAACTGGCTACTTGAAATGACGGGCTTGAGCAGGTTTGGTGGGTCTTAACTTCCTGATCTCTCTGGTCACATTCCAAGGACTGCTATCTGTTGAGGAGGAAAAGTTGGGACTGTAAACCCTTTGTGTCACAACTGAACAGGGACAGTTAGACATGTTAACACCAGTCAGGGCATGGAGGGGCTCTCCCTGGTGAAGAGCACTTGAGGATAAGCTTCCCCTTCTGAATGTCCTGGCTTTATTAACCAAACTGCACAAGCTCCTTTCTGCCCTGTGGCTCGTCTTGTAGCTTTATGTGGCACAAGCTCCATTTCTCTGGGTAATCTGTTTGAAGTGTCCTGTGCTGCAGTGAAGAGTTGCTCAAGTAATCTCCCATTTACATGTGCATGTGCTCTGTAGTGCCTTTCTCCTTGTGCTGTTCCATCACTAACTGAGGTGTCTCATGTTTTTCTCTTCTAGTGGTTCACTGTAGATGTTCCAGATGCTTTTCTTTCCCTTCAAAACGAAGGATAATAAAACGGCCTCGAGTCTTGACGTTCTTAAACCTGCCTGAGGACATTCTATTTCATATTCTGAAAGGCCTCCCTGCTGCAGACATCCTCTCGGTCAGAGCCGTAAGTCTACTGCTGCTTCCTGTCTGGCAGGCACACCTTTGGGAGTGTGGGCTGCACATGGCACAGGCTTCTCATGTCCAAGGGAGCCTGAAGAAACCCACAGAGTACCTACAGTGATTAGCTTTTTGCTGTCCCAGTGGCAGTTTGATTAGGAAGATTAGCAGCAGTATTTGAGTGCTCTGTGCATGTTTTCTGTGGCTAGAATCACTGGCCAGATCAGTGTGACTGAAAAATTTGGTTTGGCATCTTTTGTCTTAACTTGTTATCTGCCTAATAACTGTCATGATTAGCTTGTGATGAATTAGTTACATCTCTAAAATTAGGTGGCAAAGACTTGTTTTCTTGTTGGTCCCTTTTAGTAATTATCATTTTGCATTCCCTCTGTTGCAGGTGCACTCACACCTTAAATACCTTGTGGATAATCATTCCAGTGTTTGGGCACAGGCAAGTTTCCAGGACATGTGGCCTTCTCCAAACAACCTGAGGATGTTTGAAAGGTAAGCTTTGAGAATCAAATGTATCTGGCCTTGTAGAAGAGGATTTTTGAAGGCGTAGATACATGATTCTAATCTGTCCTCGGTGTAACTGGGGGATCTGAATTATACAAAGAGGGGAAGTCTTTGCTTTGAGGGATGAAAAATGGTTTATTTCAGGTCTAAGCCACAGCTGATCACTGCTGTGTCTTTAACAAGAGCAAGATCCATTGCATTTACAAAAGCTGTTTCTCTTTATGGGCATTAATATTCCGTATTGGAACATGGCACATTCACTACAACCTGTTCCTGGTGCTTCCACGTGAATGAACGAGTGAGATCAGAGGCTCCAGAGAATAACCCTATTTCTGAGTTGGCATCGCTTCTTGTGCAAACCAGTGTATTGAAAAATAGGTACCTTTCAACAACAACTAAAGTTTGGAAGGGTAAAAATAGATTTGCCTTGAAAAGATGGAGTACGTCTTATCCATCTGATTTTGAAGGGAATCTGTTGGTTTTGAAGTGTCAGAAATTTCTTTAACAGGTTTAAGTGTCATGATAATTATTTTGCTTCTGACTGTTGAAGAAATTGTTTTGCTTCAAGAAACAACTGGATGTGGCATTTAGTGCTCTGGTCCAGTCACAGGTTGGACTCAGTGTTCTTAGGTCTTTTCCAACCTAAATGATTCTGTGACTGCTCCTTTGATGTATGCATTATCTTCTTTCTGAGGAAGACCACCACTGTGTGCACATCACTTTGGGAGGCAGCAGCACAAATGTTTGATGCATGTCCTTGAGGGTACAAGTACTAAAACATGTCAGTGCATTCTGCCATTGGGGATTTTGCACAGGATTGAGAAACAGCTCCTATGGACTGTTAAATTATCCTGGATGCTGACATTTGGCAGGGCTGCAGCAAGAAAAGTCTCAGCATGACTTAGGCTTAACTTGTGTAATGAAAATACGTGGTTGGTGGTCACAACAGTCATGGCCTGGCTGCCAGTGCAGTCATTTGTTGCAGGGTGTGGGCCTGGAAACACCTCTGGATTTCAGCTTCAAGGACCTTCTCTGTTTCCCCTTCAGGGCTGCTGAGAGTGGTAATTTTGAAGCTGCTGTGAAGCTGAGCTTGGCATACCTGTACAATGAAGGCTGTAAGTGGAGAAGCCTCTCCTGGGGTCTTTGGGGAAAGTGACATGGCAGGAGGAAGTTTTAACTTTCAGTGCTCAAGGACTGACCACTAAAGTGCCAGGTGCTCCGTGATGGGATGGTGTAGACCCTGTGAATTCAGGGCCTATCATTTGTAAACTTCTGATCAAACTTGGCTGCTTCCCTACTGTGATAAACATGCCAAAAGGGCCTGCCAAGTGCCAGGAGGAGCCTCCTCGCAGAGGGGACTGTCAGGGCAGTTGGTGTTTGCAGAACATCCCCCTCAAGCTTAGGGTGATGCCTTCCTAAAGTCTGAGTGCAGTCAGATTTTTCTTTTTTTGCCATCTCCATGGTTTTTATGGCTCTAAAGGAAAGAGACAGTTTGATCTCTTCCTGACTGTTTCCTGTTGTCTGTCTCGGCCCCGCCAAGCAAACACTGTGAGCAAACTCTACCTATTTCTGGCTTTGTCTCTGGTTCAGTGTCCATCTCAGGCCATGGCCGTGTAGAAGTGAATGGCATAAAGGCATCTCACTACTTCAGCTTGGTGGAGCACCTGAATGTGTGTGCAGTGCCCTTTATCTGGCTGTTCATCCGTCCTCCCTGGTCCTACACTGGAAGCTGCTGTAAAGCTGTGGTCTACGAGAGCCTCAAAGCCGAGTGTCAGCTGGAGAAGGTCAGGTTTCTTTCTGCCCTTGGCTTTACTGTACACCAGTAGTTGAATCCAGGTATTTTGGAAAAATACTTTTGTTTCCCCAAGGAGCCTCTTGTGCTCTTGTTGCTTCAATGACTGATTCAGTCATTTTGTTGAATTTAATGCCAAACTGCCCTTGATATATCCCAAGTGCTGGAGGCCTGGAGAAGAGGTTACATGGAGACCTCACAGCAACCTTTCAGTATCTGAAGGAGCCCTAGAGGGAAGCTGTAGAGGGACTCTTTGTAAGGAACTGCCGCGACAGGAGTAATGGGGATAAATTGAAAGAGAAGAAATTTAGATTAGATCTCAGGCAGAAGTTTTCTCTGTGAGGATGGTGAGACACTAGCCCAGGTTGCCCAGGGAGGCTGTGGCTTCCCCAGCCCTGACAGTGTTAGCCAGGTTGGATGAAGCGTTGAACAACCTGCTCTGGTGGGAGGTGTCCCTGCCCAGGGCAGGGGCTGGGGCTAGGTGAGATCTAAGCTCCATTCCGACCCCTTAACATACTATGAAAGTATGAAACTGTCTCTTCTGAGGGGTTCAGTGCTCTCTCAGGGATAACAAAACCTGGAGAAAAGGAAGGGGGGAGGAATGATTGAAAGAAAAAAACAAACTGTAGTCTGGAATTGCAAGCAAAACTTGCTGTGGTTCTTTGTTTAACAATGCTTTATCTTGATGCTTTCTTCAGGCTCAGAAAGGAGCTATTCTCCACAGCTTGGCTAAAGTCTTGAATTTCTTTGAGGTGGGTAGTGTTTCTGATTTAATGTGTTTTGGTTTGGGTTTTTTTTTCTTTGGGTATGCTAATGCTGTTTACCTTGATTAAAAAAAAAAGCAGCCAAATGCTCTTATGCCTCCTCAAGTGGCTCAGGAGCTTCTGGTCTCATTACTTTAATTTACTGGTTGTTTAAAGGAACATTATTAACTTACATTATTTAATTGTACAAACGGTGGAATTAATTTTGGCTTGACGATGGGATGGCAGTGTGTTCAGGTCTCAAAGGAAGTCTTCCAGCTGTAATGCCTAGGAAAAAAAAAAGGAAACTTTTCAGTGGTAAGCAAGCCCAAAAGCTTTTGTGTGGCTGAGGGAAAAGCACTGCTTCCTGAGTCTGTGTCTGCAAATTGGAGCATTGAGGGGATGTGGGAGCACCCTCACAGTCTGCAGGGCACTCCCAGGGGGTGAATTCTGCTCCATAGCTTTAGCACAGAACTGTTCTGTAGCTTCTGAAGTGTTGAGGCATCCAGTTGTCTGGCCAGCATAAATAACCAGTCTGCCTTTTGTTTTTAGGATGAAGGAAAAAAGAAAGAATCCCTTGAAATGCTTGAAGAATCATCAAAGCAGGGTTGTTTAATCAGCTCCTACCTCCTTTGGGAAAACAACAGAGAGGCTGCCGTAAGTAGTATTTGTTTGTCTCCAAACAACTTTTTCACTAACTTCTGAGTCTCTGTTATGTGCAATGAATGTCCTCAGAAAGAAATTGTGTTCCTCAGAGCTTACCTTCTGCATAAACAAGGAGAGTGCTAAGAGCTCTGATCTGAGCTGTGGTGTCTGTCTCAGTGTTGGAAGTGAGCCTATGAGCAGTGGTAGCTGAGATGCAGCAGAAGTTGCTTTACACTGACTCTGCCAGAGGCCTGGGCACTGCTGATCAGTGATCCCAGGGCATCCTGGGGAACAGATGAGATTCAGATGAGATTTAGATTAGATGTTAGGAAAAATTTCTTCCCTGTTAGGGTGTTCAGGCACTGGAATATTGCCCAGGGAGTTCTTGGAATCACCGTCCCTGAAGGTGTTTTAAGAGGTGTCTGGATTTGACACTGGAGGATATGGTTTAGGGTTTAGGAGTTACAGCAGAGTGGCAGGCTAATGGTTGGACTTGATGGTCTTGGAGAAGTCTCTTCCAACCTTGATGATTCCAGGAGCAGGGAGACTTCTGCCTTGTCATAAGTCTGCCAAAGCTCTGGCCTTGGAATCCTGAGTGCCCCATCTCATTTCCTGGGGAGACCTTGGGCAAGAGCTGAAGAAAGTTTCTAGGAAACAGCATTGTCATGATGAGGAACAGACTGGGTGCTGAAATAATAGATGCACCCCCAGGCAGTGTTTTCCCTCTGGATATTGGTACTGCAATTCTTCTGTTTGTTGTGCAAAGGCCATGGGGTTTTACATCTGTTTACATTGCTCTTGGTAGATGTCAGATCCTGGCAGATATCTCCAAAGTCTCAGGAAGCTGCGAGACTACGCAGCAAAGGGCTGCTGGGAAGCACAGGTAAGACTACTTTTTCCAGAAAAATGGTCTTTATTCAGTCCTTTCTGTGTTGCATTGTAGATTAGACTCCTCCTTTGGCAAGCAGGGTCAGCACTGGTGAATAATGTCTGTACCATGTTCGTGTGCAGGTACTCTGCAGATTCCCTTCTCTGGGAAATTGCTGCACATCTGTGGTACAATCGAGTAAAGATGTGTCTTTTGATGGACTTAAAAGGCTTCCCCCAAATAGCATACGTGTTTAACATTTAAACCAAACTCAAGAACTACTGATTCCGAGTAACTTGTCATGTGTGCTGTTTTCAGCACGAAAATTAGAGGCCCATCCTATGCTGCCTTAGGTTGCATTTGGTAAAATAAGCAGACTTTCTTGTGTTCTCTCTACTGCAGATAGCTTTAGCCAAAGCCTGTGGGAATGGAAACCGGCTAGGATTAGATGCAAAATCTTCCAGGGAAATGGTGTCTCAAATCTTTCAAGCTTCTCTTCCTATCAGCAAGCAAAGCATCTTCACTGTGCAGAAAGGAATGAATGAAATAATGAGGTAAGAGCTCGGCTTGAGGAGTCAGACCACACAGGAAAAACCACTCCCTATTTCCCTCTACATCTATACATACCCTCTACAACTTCTGTGGGCACCCTGTGCCAGTGCCTCACCACTCTTAAAGGGAAGAATTTCTCCCCAATATCCCGTCTGTCAGTGTGAAGTCATTCTCCCTTGTCCTGTCCCTCCAAAGTCCCTATAAACTCCCTTTTCCTGAGGAAACACCTGCAACAGTGTTACCCGTGTTAGCTGCCCCTTAATCCTTACCCATAAGTTCTTTCCCCCGTCCCTAGTCAGAGCTTGATACATTCCAGTTGCTCTCTCATATGAAGAGCAGCTCCACTGCTTCACCTTGCTGGCCTGTCTTTCCTAAGAAGTCCATAGTCCCCCGTGCCAGCATTCCAGCCATGGGAGCTATCCCACCATGGCTCTGGAATTGCTCTGAGACTGTGGCCCTGTGACTGCACAGCCACCTGTAACTCCTGCTTACTGCCCACGCTGTGTGTTGCTGTGCAGGGCAGGCTTCCCAGGAGGGCTACAGGATGACCCACTACAGCCACACAGCCTCGAGAAGGTTGGCCTTCTGGCTTTCACCTTGGGAGGCAGCTCAGGAACACTTGTCACTGCTCTGCTGGCCTGGCCCATTCCCCAAGTCCTTCCTTACATCTCTCTCTTCCTATTCTAGGTATATCCTGGTGGATTGGTTGGTGGAAGTGACTACCATGAAGGACTTTTCTAGCCTGTGCCTTCACATGACAGTTGGATGTGTGGATCGTTACCTGAAGCTGAGACCTGTACCTCGTGCTCGGCTCCAACTCTTGGGCATAGCCTGCATGGTCATTTGCACACGGTGAGGGTTCTGGCTGGTGAACAGAGGTGCTTATTGTGATCATCCAAACTCACTCCTGCAGCTCAAGCTTCTCCTACCCCCCTGTCCCTTGCTGGTAATACTGGAAAGAATCTTTGGCTTCCCTCTACCTTGACTGCTGCTTGAACTGTGTTTAACATGCAAACACAATCTCTGCAAATGAGGCACAAAATGCAATTCCTGTTAGGTTTTTTTCATGTTTAAAAATATGTTCATAGTCATGGATTTATGTAATGCATTCCATCAGCAACTGGAATCTTTCACACCATATTGGCCTGAGAAACTCTGAAAGGAAGACCTACAGCAGTAGTGTTCTATAGTTTAGTCTACTGCACTCAGGTAAACCACATGGTGAGGTGAAAAATTATCCTTTTGCGTTAATTTCTTTGATAGCTTTTATCCTAGCCTAGGAGAGGTTTCAGAAAGGAAGAGCATGCATTCCATCAGCAACTGGAATCTTTCACACCATATTGGCCTGAGAAACTCTGAAAGGAAGACCTACAGCAGTAGTGTTCTATAGTTTAGTCTACTGCACTCAGGTAAACCACATGGTGAGGTGAAAAATTATCCTTTTGCGTTAATTTCTTTGATAGCTTTTATCCTAGCCTAGGAGAGGTTTCAGAAAGGAAGAGCTAGAATCACAGACTGGGCTGGAAGTGAAGTGACCTTAAAACTCATCCAGTCCCACCCCTGCCATGGACAGAGGCATCTTCCACTAGCCCAGGTTGCTTCAAGCCCCATCCAGCCTGTCCTGGAACACTCTCAGGGATGGGATGGTCATTGCTTCTCTGGGCAACCTATGCCAGAGCCTCACCACCCTCACAGGGAGGAATTTCTTTCACATTAGGGAGAATGTTCTGAATTAGGAATGTTCTAGTAGGTGATTCCAGCTTACAGGTGAAATAAATGAGCTGCAGTTCTTTCTTTCCTGGTCTGCCTGGGAAAGTACCTTGCAAAGTTGTTTAACTGATTATCTTGGGCACATTTATCTGCCATAGGTGCCCAAATTCCCTCTCTGCTGGGGCTGACTCTTACTATTCCTTTCCATTGCAGACTGATCAGCAAAGAGATGCTGACGATACGGGAAGCTGTGTGGCTGACAGACAACTCGTACAAGTATGAGGAGTTGGTCAGAATGATGGGTGAGATCATTTCTGCCCTAGAAGGAAAGATAAGGGTGAGTTGAGAAAGTGGATGGAATAATTCCCCCCTTGGTCTGCTATTCTAGTCAGGCTGTTGTAATTAGCACTTCTGAGCTGGGGGTTTATGTCAATGTTCTCAATCAGTTGTGGAGTCTGTGCATGTTTCAGAGCATGCAGACACACAACACTCTGCCTTCTCTAGAGATTTAAATTTGCTTTTTAAGAGGCCCTTTATTCTCTCACTGAAGAAGGTTTCAATGTCAGTGGAGTAGTTCAGTGGATAAAAACAAATAAAAACAGCCTCTCCTGGAAACAACTGTTTTTAATGCTTAGTGCTGCTCTTGTATTTCCAAACTCTATTCTTCTTTCTGCACCAGACACCCACCATTTTGGACTACAAAGAAGTTCTGTCAAACACAGTCTCACTGGAGAGAAGAACTCTTCACCTTTACAGTTTCATTTGTGAACTGTCCCTCTTAAACACGAGCCTGAGTGTGTATTCCCCAGCCCAACTGGCTGCTGCCGCACTGCTGCTGGCGAAGATACTGCACGGGCAAGGTAAGGAACCTTCCCTCAAGTGGAGCTGCAGCCTGGTGTGCCACTCTGCCTTCTCTTTTGAGGGAGCTTTGGGGTTTTTTTCTAGATGTAACTGTTTTTAGGCAAGATGTCCCCATCACTTGGCTGCAGGAGAGGTGGGGAGGGAGTGGAGAAGAGGATGGGTGTAACTGACAAGTTGAGCTCAGTCTGTTTGGCTATATTGGGCCACCAAGTTGGTTGGAGGGCTGGAGCACCTCTCCTATGAGGGAAGACTGGGAGAAGTGGGATTGTTAAGCCTGGAGAAGAGAAGACTTTGTGGTGACCTAATTGCAGCTTTGCAGTACCTGAAGGAAGCCTACAGGAAACATGAAGAGAGACTATTGACAAGGGCCTGGAGTGACAGGACAAGGGGGAATGGCTTCAAACTGATAAGAGGGCAGGGTTAGATGGGATATTGGGAAGGAATTTCTCCCTGGGAGGGTGGTGAGGCACAGACACAGGTTGCCCAGAGAAGCTGTGGCTATGCCATCCCTGGGAGTGTTCCAGGCCAGGTTGGATGGGGCTTGGAGCCACCTGGGCTGGTGGGAGGTGTCCCTGCCCAGGGCAGGGAGTGGAATGTTATGAGACTTAAGGTCCCTTCCAACCTGAACCATTCCATGATTCCATTTTAGCTCTTAATAGCTGTGATGAACTAGAGCATTGGCATCAGACTAATGCAAGTTTTGTGTTTAAATGAGACTGAGGATTTCTATCCTTGGGTATAACTTCTCCTTGAAGCCAGTTGTGAACTTAAACAAACTATGCACAGGCATAAGCTTGTAAAGATCTTGATCTTTATCCTATTAAAAAAAAAGTCTGACTACAGAACTTCCAAGCTTCATGAATATCTAATTCAGTACATTAATATGTATTCTCTCCCCAGCACACCCGTGGAGCAGCCAGCTGTCTGATTGCACTGGTTTCTCTCTTGAAGACCTCTTGCCCTGTGTACTGAGCCTCCATCAAAAGTGGTAATGATTTAGGGACTTTGGGGGGGGCACATGAATACTTGATTCCAGCTCCTGCAGACGTGATGCACCTGTACAGTCAACCCTTCCTAGTGAAGGAGGTGGCCTTGGGCGACTGCCTTGCTCTGCCCACAAGACACTGAGGCCCAGTTTAAGGACAGCTGTTCTATTTCTCCCAGCTTATCTGGTCCTGAGTCACAGAGAACAGGACCAGAAAGGGAATTAGATGCCCACATGCTTGGAACTAAGTGTCCTGCCTGCACTGCTGAAACACCAACTCCCCTAGCACATCACTGAGGGAGACAGAGGGAGAGGACCTAAACTGGCATGTTTTCTTAATGTTGCTTCATGAAAGCCCCAGTCTTAGAATGGATTCTGCCTTTCGTTCCAGCTTCCATGATGATGTCCCAAAGGATTTCAGGCAGGTGTCTCTCATGGCAGTGAAGCAGCGATTTGAAGATGAGCGTTATGAAGAAATAGGCAAGGAACAGGTGGGTGAACTGTGTCTGCATCTGCTGATCTCTGACACCCTGAGCAGAGCTGCCTGTGGCAGGGAGGAGTGAGCTGCAGGGAATGGCAAGGAGGTTCTGGCTTCAGACTTTTGGAAGAGAGTCTGAAACTTATCCCTAAATAAAGGGGTAGTTTAATACTTGCTCTGCAGGGACTCTAACTGCTGTCTGAGTACCTGTGGGAAGAACTTGCTGGGATAGATTTATCCTAGAAAATAAATAGCCTCCTTCTGGCTCTTTAGTCCTTCTAGGAATCTCATGATCTAATTCTTACTGGTTCTTTGATTTTTTTAGGTGATGAGTTACAGCCAGCTCTGCTCCCTGTTGGGTGTGAAACAGGAGGACCCAGAACCTAGTCCCTTGCACAGGAATGTGGCAGAAATTCAGACTTTCCTCAGCTCTCCCGCTGGAAAGAGAGCTAAAAGGTGAGTGTAACTCGCGGCTGTCAGTGGCTCTGAAGATAAGCCAGAGCCTTTCATCCTCTCTGGTCCCCTGAAGTTTCATTCTTAAATACAATCCATTTGCCTGTCATTACCTTGATACACCTACTAAAAGAGCTGGAAAAGAAGATTTGGCTTTTAAGAAGTGACCTCTGGATGTTTTGCTACAGGAGGAGGGAAGAAAGCATTCAGGAGGATAGAGGCAGCTTTGTAACTACACCCACAGCAGAGCTGTCCTCCCAGGAAGAAAGTCTGCTGGACAACTTCCTTGACTGGAGTTTAGATTCCTGCTCTGGGTATGAAGGTGATCAGGAAAGTGAAGGCGAGAGAGAAGGAGATGGTGAGCAGTTTATTCTCCTTATAAAAAGCAGCCAGGAGAATGACATTTGTCTTTTCATCCCTGCTTAAAACTGTTTCTCAGGCCCCAGATGCCTGAACTTTCAGCTGAAGACCAGTTGGAAAAACTCTTCCCCTTCTCCCATGGTTATAATTGTTAAACTGCCTCAGAGGTATCTATCTGTTCTTTGCCTGCACTGCTTCAGGCCATGAGGGGATTTGTAGCTGCTCAGCCTTTCAAAGTGAGGCTGTTTGCAGTGCACCTAATGTTATGAATGCCCCACTGTGTTAGAGAGACTAGCTGTTGGTTTTGCTGACTCTGGGCCTGGCTGGTAATTTTCTAACCAGCTCCTATCCAGTACCTGTCCAAACAGTCTGGGTGGAAAGATACTGTGTTAAGAGGGTGAGATGTCACGGCCACAGTGCCCTGAGCTGTCCCTTCCTCTTCAGAGGAACCCAAGGCTGTAGCTTTGTGAGGCTGTATTTTTTTAAAGAATGAATTTGGGAGGTCTTTACTCCTTTTCTCTCACTTCCTCCCAACTGAAACACAGCCAACAGCTGGTCCTGTGCTGTCCTAGCGCATGGGGAAGGTTATCCACCAGCTACTGCTGCCGTGTTGACTCCTCAGTAGCAAAGAGAGCAAGATCTGAGGGGGATGAAATCCCCATTCCTCAACTTCTGAGGCTACAGGGTGGTGTCTGGGGGTAGATTTGCAGCTGCTGTTGCTACACCAGATCTTGGTGCAGGATTAACTCTGTTACAGAGTCTTTCTGCTGCCATCCTTGAGTTTTGAGTCAAAGATTTCCTAGCAAGGGTGGTGAGACACTGGCCCAGGTTGCCCAGGGAGGCTGTGGCTGCCCCAACCCTGGCAGTGTTCACAGCCATGTTGGATGAGCCTTGAGCAACCTGCTCTGCTGGGAGGTGTCCCTGCCCAGGGCAGGGGTTGGGCTTGATGATCTCCAAGGTCCATTCCCACCCCTTAACATCCTATGAAACTTAATGCTGTGCCCTCCAGGTGTGAGTAGACAGAAGGTTGACACTCTTGCTTGGCTTTTTTCTGGTTGATTCTGTGCTGAATGCCTGCTTGGTGTTGGATTTGGGCAAACTAAACTTTGTTGTTTCCCACCCTGCAGTGACCAGCCCCAGTGGGATTCTGAACATGACGGTGCTGTACCTGGACCCTGCGGAGCACTGCGCTCAGGACTCCAGCGACGATGACAGTCTGCCTGGAGAGTGGGCCAGGCCCGCAGCGCCCCGGGGGGAGGCAGAGCTGCCAGGGGTGCAGCTTAGCCCAACAGCCCCTAACCTAGAGGGGAGCTCGGGCTACTCCTCTGTCAACACTGCCAGTCCTGCATCCTGCGTGGAAACCAGCCCTGGAGTTCCTCCCAAACCTACCTCAGCACTGCCCCGCGGCAGAGCTGTGACTCGGGAGCTGTGCCAGCCCCAACCCCTGCAGCGGAGGCAAGTCAAGCGAAAAAACATGGCAGAGCACAGTGAAGAAGAAAGGCTGAACTTGGGTTTCTTAAGCCTCTGATTTCTTCATGCTTTTAACTTCTCCAGGATGCCTGGAAATCCTATTTTTGTTGCAGCCATACAGGGATCACAGTGAATAATTGTAAATACCTCCAAAAAAACCAATCCCCTTCCCCTCAGCCTTGTCTGTCTTGCACCTGTAGCTCACTTCTAGGTCCATTCCTTCCTTTACAGATGCCTTTTTACGTATCCCCTATTGTCTGATCCTCTGGCTAAGGTTCTGCTCCTCCTTTGAAATTTCACAGCCCACTTTTGTCATCCCTCTTAGTGACAGAAAAGAGCTTGTCCTGTTCTGTCCCTTGCTTCCTCTGAGGCCTGGCACTGTGAAAGAAGTGAATTGACATTGGTTCTCAAGTTTTTTTATGTAACACTATGCTTGAATTCTTCCACTTGAAACACCTTTGTTCTGAGGTTGTGCTGCCTTTTTCCACTGGCCAGGTGTCCCTCAGCTCCCCTCTTCTCTGTCTATGGCATTTGCTGCACTGAAACAAGGTTTTCATTGAGAAACCCCAGAGGTAAATGAAGGCTCACTGCAGGTCTGAGCTGCTCTCTTACCTACCTCTCACATGGTTAAACCCCATTTGCCTCTTCTCTCATTGCCATGTTTTCTCACCTGAAAAACTTCTTCTGTGCCTTAACACAGTAGTGAACATTGGAATACTGAGGTACAAGACTTCCAGGAGCCATCATTGAAGTGAACACTGGAACTGGAATTCAAGGACTTTTAGAAGTTACTGTGGCATAGGCAACAGTTCAGATATACAGTGTAGTGAATGTTTGTTGACTGTTTTTTATAAAGTTGTTTTGTTATTAGGGGTGGCTCCCTGTCTTCCTTCCCGGTCTTCCGTCACTGGCCTGAGGCTGGGAGAACTGGGGGATGTCTGGGGAAGAGGGCAGCATTTAGCTCTGAGCTGAGTTCTTACAGTTAAGTTGCAGTGGCATTGCCTGGAGGCTAGTTATATGAGTCTCACAAAGAGCTCAAACCCCCCTCAGTACCCTCCAGCAGCCCCAGAAAGGCCTGGAACATGCCAAATAACCACCAGCAGCCTTGGGTCCTTGTCCACAAAGTTTATTATAAAACTATGTGCTGCCATTGTAGTTAAAAAAAAGAAAAAAGTCCCTGATTTAGTTGCCCTGTGGCTACACTGCAGTTCTCCAGCTACTCTTGCCCTGACTTGCCATGCAGGAGTGTCTTCACATTAGCTTGGTACAGCAGCAACTCAAACTTAGAACTAGGTCACATTAAAATGGGAAGAAAACACTTAGAAAAATCTCTCATTCTATAACTGGTGAAAGTTAAACATCTGTAGGAAAGGCCTCACTGCAGGAAGCTCTGAACTCTTCCTGTGCAGGTTTTCTTGATCTGAAAGAAAAAGAAATGGTAGAAAAAGGGAGATTACTAAGTTCAATTCCTTTGTGAATTAGGTGGTGAGAAGCAGGCTCTGTTCCTCCTGCTGCTGCTGGCTTTGGCTGATGCAGCCCTGCACTAAAACCAGATCTGGCTCTGTATCATGCCTCAGTGTTGGAGGTGCCTCATGGCTAGAACAGCACCTGGGCTCGAGAGCCACCCCTGCCTTAGGGCTGAGGCACTAAAACCAGAACTACAGGGTGCTTTCTGAAAGGGAAAAGCAAAAGGTACAGCCCACAGCTCAGTTACTGAAAAAAACTACCACATTGCATGAGGCTGCATTTTATCATCACCTTCACAGCCCTGCAGACCCTTCAGCCTTTGCTTTATTAACCCTTGTATTCCTTCAAGGACAAGTATTTCTAGAAAAGAAAATTGAGGAAACATGCTGTAAGACAGGTTAAGCATAGTTTGGTGTGGCACTAGACTGGTCTTTTTTTTTCAGCAGGAGCAGGTTGGTCTCACCTGAAGAGACATCATAGACCAGGCTGCTCTGTCCTCCCCTGCCTGTGGTACTGCAGGACATAGGGAGCAGGCAGTGGCACTGTGTGCCATCCCAAGTGCTGGCACTCACCTAGGGAACCATTCGGACATCCACAGAGTCGTAGGCTGAAGCTTTCATCTTCTCCAGGGGCTTCTTGAAGAGCTGCCGCAGGGCCTCGTAGTCAGGCTTCTCCTCATACTCCAGGGCCAGCACTTGCTGCAGGTAGCTCTGCAGTGCATCTGCAAAGCAAGGGATGTCACAACTGAGGCAGCACAGCCATGCCAGCTGGCTCATCCACCCACCTTGACCAGCTGCAGAGAGGAAAACCACAACAAGCTCAGACAGGAGCATAGAATTATCGAATAAAATTGAATCATGGAATAGTTTGTGATGGAAGGACCTTAAAAACCATCTCATTCCACTCCCTACCATGGGCAGGGACACCTTCTACTAGGACAGGTTGCTCCAAGCCCTGTCCAGTCTGGCCTGGAACACTGGGCTGGGGGCAGCCACAGCTGCTCTGGGTAACACAATGAGATGGGGAAATGACCTCTAGCCCCAGCTACTGCATTTTTTAAACATACCAGAATACCTGTCCCCTCAGCAAGGCTCATGAAACAGACCACAGGAGGCAGCCTTGCTTCTTGTGCTGTACAGAAAACAAGGAATTTGTTCCCAGCCTGCCAACCAGTCCATGCCATGCCTGGTCACTGTCACCATGTACCAGCACCTCAGAAAAGGTTCTGGCTGCAAGTACAGTAAATCTTCCTTCCCCAAGTCCCACTGCCACTGAGCAAGCCCATACCTGGAATTGATCTCTGCTTGAAGCACAGTCGGAGAAGGCACTTCACATCCTCTCTGTACCTGGAATAGTCAGTGCAGAGTGCTGTCACGCGAGAAGCAGTGGAGCAGGCACCTAAGCACTCAGCTTTGGTAACAAGGACGGAAAAAGCCCCAAATGGCTGAATTCAGATAGCTACATTCCAAATGCAGCAGAACTTGGCAGTTCATCAACCATCCTTGGGAAAGGCTCAGCCTTGGCCATGGAATTTATCCACGTCCCAACACTATGACTGAGGGATTTCAGTCACAAAACCTCCCTCACTGCTTTCTGCTGAGCATTTTCCAAAAGAGTAGATGATTTCTCTCTTACCTTTCCTTCCTCTCCACCACAGTTTCTACTTTGTCCACCTCATCAGACCAAGGCAAGACGCCACAGAGCCATTTCAGAAGGCAGTAGCCCAGGGATTCCAAGTCACTCCGGCGAGATGGTCCTTATAGGAAGGAAGAGATAGTCACACATCACTCATTAAGGGGCAAAAGAAATCCAAGAGTGCTCTGAGATATCAATACATCTGGGAGCCTGCTGCTAACTCACAGAGCTGAGGAATAGCTGTCCAGCCTCTGGAGGAAGATCTGCTGAACAGTGGGGAGAGCAGTCACATCCCAACCAGGAGAGGGACCGGCTAATTTCGTATGGGGCTGCCTAGGGCAGGGGTGGAGTCACCACCCCTGGAGGGATTTAAAAGACGTGTGGATGTGGCACTTGGAGCCATGGTTTAGTGGTGGCCTTGGGAGTGCTGGGGGAATGGCTGGACTCAATGATCACTAAGGTCTATCCCAGTCTAAATTCTATGATTTAACTGCCTTTTCAGCTCTCATTGCTTCAAGGTCGGAGTAGAGCCTGCTGCAAATGGATTCAGCCTGGCCTGAAACAGATCTCAGATAAGCCAGCACAAAGGCCCCCGTTTTGCGTTCCTCTGCCTGCAGCACCCAAGGCTCCAGATGGCACAGGAACATCCTGCTGCACTCGCCGAAGAACCCGGTGAGTCCCAGCACAGCAGCCCCAAGAGAGGCAGGAGTGAACAGCCCAGACACGAACCTGCTTCCTGGCAAAGCAGCAGTACCAGCAATGCCAGCAGGGAGTCACAGCTCCAGAGAGCTCAAGCTTGTGTCAGAAACCCAGACCCACCTGCACCCTTGTGGCTGTCCAGGCTGATGAACTCCACGGTGCCTTCATGAGGGGTCCTGCTGCCCTCACGCCAAGCCACATGCTTCCCCCCAGGGCAGTATCGGAATGCAAAGCCATAGCCTGCGAGGGTCACCTGCAACACAGAGAGCAGCGCACACCTGAGTGTGTGGGGGGTGAATTCTGCTCGCTGTACCCCCAGTCCTGCCCCACAGCACTTGCTGAAGCACTGCACAGACCTGGGGGTCGCCCTATCCCGTGGCACATGCTCACCTTCACTGCCATTTCCTGCCAGCACTGCTCCTGTCCCTACCTGTGTGAGGTCTGCTGGGTTCAAATAGATGTTCTCTGCAGTGATGTCCCCATGCACATACTCATTCTCATGGATGTACTCCAGGCAGTCTAGCTGGGAATAAACAGAGGGGATTGTGTCAGATCTGTGCAGGATCCTCCTGCAGGATCTCACTGAATCCTCCCCAGCTCCCAGGGAGGAGCACTAGAAGCACCATGTCTCACAGCCTATAAGTTTAGAGGTCAGCTTTCCCTCATTCTCCTTCCCCTAAATTCCTTCAAGGTGGCACATCACTCAGAAGATGCTACTCAGGTTTACAGGAGGCTTGAGAGATGTGACTTGGAGATCTCAGCCAAGCTCCTGGCGCAGCTTTTAAAGACCTCTGAAAGATCCTGAAGGAAGTTACAGGTCTTTCCTGAAAGTCTCTTGGGAAGTGTTGGCTCTCCACATACCAGGCGGACTGCAATCTGGAAAGCTGCCTTCTCCCCCAGCAGGTGCAAGCCATCACTCAGGACTGACTCGAGAGTTCTCCCCAAGACAGAGAACACCAAAAACCTACAAGAGAAAAGGACTTAGTACATGGCAGTACCTCCCTGGTTTGGGAACCCTGCAACAGACACTCCTCAAGTGCTCCATTAGACTCTCCTCCAACTCCAAGCTGACCTGGACAAACATTTCCTTCATTTTTGGTAAGACAAAATTTGCAAAGGAGAGACAAGCAGGTCACGTTGCAGATACACAGACTGAGTCTCCCCTTTGTGTTAAGCATAAAGGGCAGGAATAAGGTGTCCTCTGGCCTGAGAAGCAGCAGCAGCAAAAGCAATGACTTCACCAGCAACACCAGGACTGAAGGAAACAGGACAATGAGAGGCAAAGCACTTAATAATGAGACAGGAACAGTGCATAAGGTCAAGAAACCAGGGGACAACAGGGAAAGGACTAACAGATGGCAAGGGGAGGAGAGGGAAAGCCCACAAAGACAGTCCAAGAGCTCAGCTGTTCCCTTGGCAGTCACCTCACCTGTAGCTGTCTGCATGCAGTCCAAAGCCAACACAATTGGGGATGCCCAACAATGGCACCAAGTGCTGCTTCTTCCACTTCTCCACTACAAGGGGAGAGAAGACACAGTGCAGCAGATGATGCTGGGGAGCTCCAGGAGGAAGGAGCTCAGTCAGGGATCTCTTCCTCCTCAGGCCTGCTCTGCCCTGGGCAGCTGACAGCTGGAAACCTCTCTCATCCTGATTCTGTCCCCAGCATTCTAGCCAGATGTGTGGGGATATTGGCATGTCAATGCACATAGCACTGCAGAGCAAGAATGGAACAGGAAAGATGCTGGGAATACCAGTGCAGGCTAAGGCACAGGGTTACTTACTACAGGGCTATGAAGAACAAGGAGAGGGGAGAGAGATGGGGTGGAGAAGCAGATTTTGAGGTCCTCCCAGAAGTGCATGTTTGCCATGAATTCCTCCATCACTCCTGCCCATGTTCCCTGGGCTGTCTGCTCCAACTTTTGGGGTCAACAGAGTCAATAGAGACAGCAGCTGACAGAACTGCCAGGGGGGACAGGAGAGAGGGAGCCAAAGTGGGTCAGGCTGCAGGGCTGAACAGCTCCTGGGGAGATCAAGACAGAGTGGTAGAGCAAGAAAGCTTCAAAATGCCAATACTGCAGTGTCCTACAGTACAGACTGCTGGGAGAGATGGGTGTTGACGCAAGTCCTCAGCACTCTGGCACTGACCAAGCAGGGAATTTGTTTACCCCAGCCTGGCCTTCCAAGAGACTCACATAAGCGATGAGTGGGATGACAGTTTTCCTTAGTCCTTGCCCTCCCATGAAGCACCAACCTGTGCCTGCCTTGGCAGCTCGCTGGAAGAAATTCTGTTCATTGTAGATCCTCCCATCTTTGGCATCCTAAAGGGAACAGGAAGGAGGGGAATTACTTCAGCTACACACACCCTGCTGCAAAGGGAAACTTGGGCAAGATTGCTACAAGATTTTCACTACTCCTTTTAAAGAAAGCAACAACACCCATAAAACATCAAATAGCAGAGCTGAGAACAGAGCTCAGGTGTTTTGGTTCACTATCTAATGCTGCCCCTAACAACCACATAAACCCTGACCATCAGGACAGAACAGAGGAGTGGCTGTCTCAGGTGGGACCTCTCCAGCACTCCCATTTACAGCTGTCTGAGGGTCAAGGACAGCCAGCCAGTGCAGCCCATCCAGCAGCCTGGAGCGAACTCTAGTCCCAAATCTATTACATTAACAGAGGTGACCGTCTTAGCCACAGCAGGGATGAGGGTATTTCTGCAAACAGCCAAGTCTCCACAGAGAGCTGTAAAAGTTTATTCTAGCCCTCAGGAAGCGAGACAAGTAAGAAAGTCTGTATTTGTGGTACTTGAGATATTGCTGTCATAGAGTGACCACAAATGCACACAGTTTACACACAGTGTGTCTGTGTTTGCCTACACACACATATACATTAAGTACACTGCAGACTAACTCAGGACAGCTGCATGGGAGGAAGCAGCAGTGTTATGTTGTAGCTGGGCTGATACCAAGCTGGTATCAAAGGTAGCTGGAGGATCAGCAGGCTCCAGACAACAAAAAAAGCATGTCCCAGAGGGTATTTTACTCTGCAGCTTGCCTGGTGAGCCCATCTGGGCCACCTAACCCCAGAGCCAAAATGCTCTCATGTGCCATATCACACTCCACAGTCCTCTGTGAGCATGAGGGCTGGGCTGTGGCATCAGAAGCCTACCAAGCAAAACGCCAGAAGATGCCAAAAGGTGCAAAACAGAGGAGTTGGCAGTGCTGCCTACAGAACTGATTACAGTCTTGTACCTACTTGGCTCTAGTTTTGTCGCACTTAGCTGTCTTTCTCATCAACACTGTATTCAGGAAAGTGGTGGCTGCCCCAGCCCTGGTGGTGTTCAAAGCCAGGCTAGATGAGGCCTTGACCAACCTGATCTAGTGTGGGGGGGGTGTCCCTGCCTAGGGCAGGGGTTGGGACTAGATGATCTGTAAGGTCCATTCCAACCCCTAAAAATTCTAGGATTCTATAATTCCTTCTCCATCCTCCTACACGTCTCCTCTGACGAAAGGCAGAGTGATTATGATGCCGAGAAACGGCTGGAAAAGAACTACTCACAGATGCCTGCAAGAGCCCCACAGAGCCATAAGTCAGCACTGGCCCTCCCACAGACCAGCAACCTTCAAGAGCCACAGCAGACAAGAAAACTGTCTTTCTGCTCTGTGAGCTACTAAAAATGAATTGACAGAATTTCCACCACAGAACAACTGTTACTGGAAATGACATGTTTCTGGGGGACCCAGGTTATTGGGAAGTGCCTGGAAAGCTGGTTTGAAACTCCAATTGTAATTCCTGTTTGATTTGAAAGTGTGCTCTGGCTTTATAGAGTGTCTCTGTGCTAGCTCATCACACTGCCTCAGCACAGCACCCAATTCCAACCTCTCCAGGTTCCCGAAACTTCAGCAGGGTGTGTGCACACTTGCCATACAGGAGACAAGTTGGTCTGACATTCCTGAATCAAGGTCTCTACCACACACCACCAAATTCAGTTCTGGAGGTTACTGAGCCTGGTGGAGCAAAGCAGCAACCTCCTGTGATTAAGGCTTTTGGGTTGTTTTTAATCATATTTATTTCCTTAACACCTTTAGTGGAAGAGCCAACTTGTACTGAAATCCAAGCACAACACCCTCAGGAGGTTTTATCCATCCCCCTAAGCCAGAAGGGGCTCTGTGGCCACCCTCTCTGAATTCCCTGGACACTCCTAGCCATACAGGCCAAACAGGGTCAGGACATAGTACTCTGTGCACTATTCCTTACCCAAATAGATCAAGACTCACAAGTTTGAGGGAGTAGCTTTGCTTTTGAGGACAGGTTCCAGAAGTTGACTGTGCTGTGGAAGGATGGAACAGATGTGATTACTGGAGCATGGAAGGAGGTTCTGCATCATTAAATGCAGCCTGTGCAGCTGGCTTTTCTTTCCTCAGCTTCCTTCACGTGGGCCTTGCCAAGTCTCCTCTGTGACAGCATCTTCCCAGGCCACTGTAAGAGAATTCTTATCTTGCTCCAGCGGCTCAGCACCCTGACATGCCATGAGTGCAGTTCTGCTTAAGTCACAGAAGCATCCGGGCATGGCTACTGTAGTGGGGGGCTTTGAGGGGGGTGTAAAGAACAGTTTGTTAGTAGAATCTCAAAGGCACCCCCAAAATTCATTTGCTGAGCATTCCCTCCAGCTCTGGGGTTTGTCAAGTCTGTAAGAGATGCTGAAGTCCCTCTGTCCTGCATGGATGTTAGAACTGTATGTGGCCTTCCTCCTCCAAAAGGATTTGCACCCATGACTTGGCCTCAGAGCAGTTCCTCTCCTCCTGCTCTTAGACCAAGTGCTATACACAAGTCATCTCCTACTCATTTCCCACCACCTGTTTCTATAAAAGCAACCTCCATGCTGATCTGCACTTTATCATCTCTTTTTAAAAACTTAAATGGATGCTCAGACTTAGTTATGCAAATAATTAATGCCAAATAATAGACAAAACTTGGTAATAGAGAAAATTCCTCCCATACAGTTTCCAAGTTAAAAACAGAGAATAAGACTGAAACCTCCCTGCTGAGAGTTTACAGCCTGTCTGGAGAGAAAAGATCAGCAGTCACTAACTGGCTGAGAAGCAGCCCACATGGGGTAAGCTGCTTTCTTTTGGCCCCTGAAGCAGGCTGAGAACCCAAAACTGACATTTAGTGGATACTGTCACCACCTACAACACAGGAACTCCTGTACAGTGCTACCAATGTTTAGGTTTCTGATCTAAAAAAATGTGTGGCCCTAAAGGTGGGCACTTCATCAAACAACAGAGCAGCTTGGCCTCAGCTCAGTCCTATCCACGGGCACTGACCAGGGGATGCCCAGGAAAAAAACGGCATGGAGCTGTGCCAGAACAGATTTAAGTTGGGTATTAGGCAAAGGCTCTTCCCCCAGGGTGTCTGGGCACCGAACAGCTCCCCAGGGCAG